GAGACGAGGCTCGAGTAGAAGAGGAGCGAGGCGAGGCTCACTCGAGAGGGAAGGCAGCAGTGACAGCTGGCCGCCCGCCACGCCGCCCACGAGGCGGCACTGGGGTGCTGCCTGGAAAGGAGATATCCCAGAGCCACCTGAGCGCAGAGCTCAGCCACATCTGCAGCACGAGGCCGGAGAGAAGAGAGAGGCACGCCACGAGTTGAGATGCAAGGTGCAAGGTGCAGGGGTGCTGCCTGGAAAGGAGATATCCCAGAGCCACCTGAGCGCAGAGCTCAGCCACATCTGCAGCACGAGGCCGGAGAGAAGAGAGAGGCACGCCACGAGTTGAGATGCAACAGCATTCCTCAGAGCGGGCTGTGGAGCCACCGACTCGGGTCTCCAGGTGGACGAGGCCGCTGTGGCAGGGCCGAGGCGACCGCAGAGCATCGCAGGCAAGCAGATGAGGCCATCGCCCATCGTGCACTGCTGCCAAGGACAGTCGCCTTCTGACTCTGCGTCCGTGAAGGACGCAGAGGCAGAAGAAGAGGTAGGAGAGGAGAGGGTGAGTCTCCTGCGGGAAACTAGTGGCCTATCACGAGTTAGGGCCCCTACCCCAATCGTTATCGGCGGAGTTGATCTCAGATGCCGACAAGTTTCTCTCACTCCGCGCCTCGACACAAGCGGGAAACTCACGCATCACAGTACATCAAAATCCCCAAAAACGTAATGATACACGCACGCCGCCCAGTCCTCTGAGTCTCATCGCAACTTCGCAAGCACTACTCTGTGGCTGGCTGGCGCGCTTCCACCTCGAGCACTCTCTCTAGAGATCACTCCGTCACCTTGCAGGCCTTGCTCTTGCGGGGCGCCACCTCGAAGAGCTTGCACTCCTCCTCGAGCTTGCGGATGGTCGCGAGGTCGGCGTCGATCACGGTCGCATCGTCGTGCACCAGCACCACCACGCCGGGGCAGTCGAAGAGGTCGACGGTCAGCTTGAGGGGCATGCCCACCACAACGCTCTCGGTGATGGTCGTGAAGGAGGGCAGCGTCTTGATGGTCTCGAAGCCAGGCGTCGCCTGCACCTCCTCGCCCTCCTGGTACGAGACGAGCATCACGATGGTGCCTACGCACGGCCGCCCTGCTAAGTCGTTCCTGCCCCGTTTAAGTCGGGTGCGCCCCGGGGCCCCGGGCCTGGGCCGCCGCTTTCCTGATCCCCCCTAACCGGTCTAAG